GCAGGATCTAACCTTGACTTCTGGAGGAGCCCAGGAACTGCTGCTCCTGCCTGCCTGGGTGAGGGTTGGTCCAGCCCTGCTGCTCCTCCCTGGGCAGAGCCAGCTCCTTTGGACAAGGGCACAGAACGAGCTGCCAACAATTCTCAGGCCCTTGGTTTGCATGGCGGCCACAGGTTCAGGCTCCCTTAGCCATTTCATGAATTATGAATGCCAGTTCTTCCTCACACTGAGTTATTTAACTTTTAGAAGGGACCTGGTGATCTCCATACCTCTTAGGTCTCCACAATTTTGGGGGAAGATTGGGAAGGTCACACGCATATGGATGTGCAGTGACACTGTCTCCCTGCATTTAGCAATGCTTTTCCTCTTCATATCTGTTGGCCTCCAAAGTTACCATCTGAACAGATCCCAAACCAGAGCATTTACAGCAAAACTTTATCTCCACAAACTTATTTATAACCCTTCTGTGAGCTAAATTCCAAAGATTTTTTTCTTTGCCATTTAAGGACATAAACCAGAAAATGTGCAAACGGGTGGGTTCACACCCCTCCACAGCGAGTCTCAAGGGAAAATGCTCTTTATTTGTATTCTGTACACAAGAGGGTGTGGAAACATGTAATGTTTCCATTGCCTGAAATCTTTCCCTAATATTTTCCCCACTGCAGCTTGGCCTGGCCCCAGGGGTTACAATTTCAACTGCTCTCATCAACATGAGACTGAACAAGCAGATAAGGTCCAGCAGCTTGCTGAGTAGTTTTGCTTCCAAGCTTATGTCACCATGGTGGATCTGTAAGCAAAAGCTGCCTTTGTGCATTTTTGGAGCATGCATGACAGCTTCACAGGAAGACTGGTCCAGATGCAGCACAAATTCCATCTTCAAGCACACAGGAAATGCCCTCTAGACATGACAGCACAGCATCACCACTGAGCCTAGTCTGCCTTCACCCCATTCCCTTGGCTTCAGTGGTTTTATATCTATAATCTAGAAACTGAATGCCAATCTGTGTGAACACACCAAGAAAAAGAGTCTAAGATGATCTGGGAAATCAGTCAAAAATAAAGTTTTAGCCAGTGCCTAAACTTGTCACTTTGGTATTGCAAATTCTTTACAAACTAAGAATGATGAACTAAGCCCCAGCAGACCCATGGGCTAAATACAGAAAGGTACAGCTTATCCTTTACTTGGAAATAGAGAAATAGACACACAGACACTAAGTGACTCACCAGGTATTTATGACCACAGGAAAAAATTTATAGGAGAAATTACTCCACTGGCTTAAGATATTGCTGCTTCTTTTCCTTTCTTTCACCTGCTTCCTCAGCTATTTGGTCCTGCCCTCACTGCAAGCCAGTAGGATAGTCCCCACAAGCAATTCTTCTGGCTTCAACATTGCTGTGGACAAGATTTTCTAATCAGGAGGTGCCCCTATGGTTCATGGACAGAGCTTTTCCCTGTTGAGGGGCAGGAAGAGAAGAGACATCAGTTTGTGGTGGAGGTTCCAAAGGAAAAATGCATAGAAAGGAGCACTTCCTTAAAGCAGGATGTAAACCACACAGCTGACATACCAGCTAAGTAGCAATGTTACATTCCCTAACCTTTTTGGTTGATCCAATCTGTTTCAAAAAACACAGGACCAAGCTCCCCCGGGGGTGGGAGGGATCCCAAATTACAGAGTACTGAGCGGCCTTCCCTGCTGGGCTAGTTGAATGCACAAAAGCACCAGGGAAGGAAAAAAAAAAAAAATGTTATATAGTTCAACAGTCCTGTGACCTCAGTGTTTCATCCAGAGAGGTCAGATCTAATATGACCTTCAAATGCCTCTGAGTCAAATTTCAGCCTCAGCCAAATTCTTGACAGGCAGCAGCCACACCTTCCAAGCGAGAGCAGCACCCCAAGAGGAGGTGCCTACACATAGGGTAGGTGACTTCCTTCCAGCACATTGTCCCCAAATCCATCCTCACCCATTGAACCACTCAGCAGCTCTGCACAAAGCCAGCAAACCATCCCCTGCACACGCACCTTTCCCAAAGGAGTAAGGCAGCAACTTTCTCACTAGAAGCTGCCAGGGGGTAGTTACTAAGAGGAGAGAATTTTTAAAGAATGAAAGCTCCCTTTGAATGCAGGCTCCCACTCTCTGCACTCACAGGCCTGTGTGCCTCAGGCTTTGTGCACCTGGAGCCCAATCCTGCAAACTCTCTATAAAGCTCCTCTCAAAGGCAATGAAAAGCTCCCTGGACTGCACTTCCCCTTCTGCCCTGTTACCTTTTTTGGTGCTTGCTCCCATACCTAGGAGAATCCAGATGAGCCCTGCAGATGAACAGTTATGCTCTCTTGGCCCTCTCATTCTTAGGCATATATGGTTTCCTGTCCCTCTGTGTTCACACACTGGGATCAAATGTTCCAAGCTGCACCCTTGGCAGACAGGGGTTAAGAACTCCACTGATCTTTAATAGAAAGTAAAACTCAGGCAGCCCACAAGAATAGGTCTCATGTAAGCAGCTACTGAGAAATCAGAGTATTTTCCACATTCCCAGAACATTCAAGTTCTCTTTGTCCTGCAGGAAGGAAGTCCTGCAGGCGCTCACTTTTCTACAATGAAAAGATCACCCCCACAGGCAGGGCTGCTCCAGCTGTGCAAAGGGAAGTGTGAAACAAGGAGGACTTCCAGTCAGTCTCCTGACAGAGCCTCCCTGGCATCTCCGTAGGATGGAAGCCATGTCCTAGCAGGCAGCCATGAGAAAAGCCTTGCCCTGCCTTTGTGGTCTCCCCACCTGGAATAAGCAGCACTGCTCCTTAATCCTGGGTGGGACCAAGCAGATGCTGTGTGCCACATGTGGCCCCATAAACAAGACCAATAAAAAACCCTCCCATCTAAATGTACGTCAATTTTCCCTCTGATGCCAGCCAGAGGAACTTACACCCTTCCCCACTTTCCTTTCAAACCACCTATCTTTCAGTGCCATTACTGCATTGTGTGTATCAGTGTTGAACAAGAAATAAAAGTACAAGGGAAGTGACCCCTTTCTCAGGCTGCTCCATGCCAGAATAATGCTGTGAGTATATGAAAAAGCAGTTATCAGAAAATCCCTCATTCCCCTAAGAAGTGCTTACATCACTCACTGTCAAAGTGTATTCAGAGTACACAGGACTCCCCTTGCATCAGACCCTGAATCCATTAATGATGGTATTGATTTCATCAGGACTAATCCTGTGAATGAAGGCTGTGGAATTGATCCTCTTGTCATTGCAAGTGGCAACAAAGAGGAGTTTCCAGGAAAAACAAATTATTTCAATAGAGTCTCTTGTTCACAGACATGTCATCTGGTATTTCTTCCCTCCCATCATGACTTAGAGCCATTAACATATGCAGGTTTTATTAAGATTGCCTATCAAAGCAGCTTCCCCAGAAAAGGCAGACCTATAATTTCTTCAAATATATTGAGAAAAAGTTCTGCCCTGCTTTACCTTATTATCAATTACCTTTACCTCATTACCAATTTAATAAAGCAAATGGACTAAAAGCTTTGCTCTGTTTGTAATTTATGTTAAAAGAGTCTGTTCTGTTGATCTTGGTGTGTGCAGTTTTAGGGTCCCATCCTGTCTAAATGGCAGGAGAAAAAGATGAGACCTGCTGCAGATGAGGACTTACTGCTACATTTAATGAGACCAAAAGAATGGAGGCAGAGTCTGAGGGTTCTCCAATGGCAAATCATACAAACACAGTCATTCACAGTATGGTATCTAAAATAGACAAATTATAATAAATACATGGTTCTTACAAAAAATCCCACTCTGACTCCTTATTTTCTTTGAGCTTCTGCCAAGGAGGGGATGTGTTATTTTCCCAAATTATTCTCCTGTCTGCCTTTTAACAGGGAAGCCTTCTCAGGCAAAGTTGTACAAAAACTGTACACTCTGAAAATAAATTCTCTGAAAACAAATACTGCATAAAAAAGTCATTTTAAAACGGTTATGTTTTAATTCTTCCAAACAACATTTGACATCCGAGCCAAATCTGTTCTATCCCTGCAGGTCTGGCCAGAGATTAGCAGCTTGGTCTGTGTCTGCAGCTACCAAGCACTCATCTGCAGCTAGCTTCCTCCCTCCCTTCATTTTCCCAGCCCTTTCCCTGAGAAATTCCCTGCCATGCAGAATATCACGCTATCAGCAGCCAGCCTCGCACAAGGCTTTCCAAGCGTGCCAGCATGTCAGAGGAGCTGGCGAGGGGAGCCTGCTAGCCAGCTCCGCCCGGCAGCGCTGCCAAACGCGGAGCCGCGCTTCCGAGGGCTCCGGTCGCACCCAAGCGCGTTCTTTAATCCCCCCCTTCGAACGGGAAAGGCAACCTCACCAGAAACATTCTGGCAACAACGCACTGCTGCGCATGTTGGGAGGCTGAAAACAAAAACTGATGCCATCTATTGTCAACAATACTTCTGTGAAAGGCTGCCATGAGGGACATCTGCTTCAGCGAGTATCAGATCACTTACATTAACCAGAGCTTTACTGTATCTGTATCACTTACGCCCCGACTCTGCCCTTGCCGTCGGGCTTCCCTGAAAATCCACATATTAAGTTGCAAATTTAAAAGCAATTCAGCAGACCTTAACACGCCAAAAGCTTTCTCATCGTAATGCCTCCAAAAGAAAAAAAAAAAAAAAGGGGGCGGGGGGGGTGAGTGGGGGAAGAAAAACAAAATAAAGAAAAGAAGGGGTAGATAGGTTATTGCTCCATTAACAAGCCCACCAAAGGATCAAAAATGGAGTGGTGGGATCATCACTCACAAGTCCAGCGGGGTGAGCAAACATGCATCCATCCCCCCTCCACCCGAGATCTCCCTTAGCTCGCCACGAACATCTGGAGAGGAGGGCACGGAGAGAGAGGAGGAGAGCAGGAATCGCTCCGCCAGCTCGTTCGGACCCGCGTGCTGCTCAATCTGCAAGGCAAAGGCGGCGAGCCCGGCTCGCTCCCAGGCAAACACGTCCCGCAAGCCCTTCCTTACCTCTGGCTGCAAAGTTTTCAGCTAGTAGGAAGGAAATGAATAACTGGCTGCTTGGGGCAGGAGCGCAGCGAGAAAGGCGCACCAGCAGCCTCGCACACACACACACACACACACACACACAGCCCTATTCAATAAAAGTGCAGCTTTTCCTTGGCCCCTCCCAAAAGTCAATGCTAAGTGAATACATATCCCTTATGTTTACAATTGGCAGGCGGCGGAATGCATTGTCCTCAATTTATTCTAATGGGCAGCCAATGGCTGCGCGCAAGCCAAGGTGGGCTCAGCCTGCCTGCAGAGATGCCTGTCATTCCCCAGGCATGCTCAGGAAGCCACTCATCAGAAAACCAAGACCTAAAAAGCTCCGAAAATTCGTGCGAGCTGCCAAAACTGTCTTGCTACATGCCCTTTTTTGGTTATCCTTAGCAGGGCCTCTGAAAGTAAATCCTCTGTCAGGAACAATCATAAGAAATGTTAATCTTGGAGAAAGAGGCTGTCTTGTTGAACACAAGCGGAGCTTAATAAAAGGAAATGTGCTGAATGGAAAGGGATACAGTAAACATATTTACTTTTTGCACCAGTTTTTTTTTAAAGCAAATAATTTCACCACAGCTAAACTACATTGTATTTTTTTTAACGAGGACCACATGTAAGAGGCAACAGAAACACTCTGCTGTGCAAGCTTGATTCTGCAGAAGGAGGGAGATACCAGTGGGAAAGGCGCATGAAAGATGAGTTGGCAGGCTTCACAGCCTGATTCCATTTCAAACAGTGCAATGGAAGTTACAGATAGAATAGCCATGTTCTGAAAAATAACTTTTAAAGAGATTCAAAACTTTGATGATGATCCTTGGCAAGCTGGACTATTTGGGTGCACAGGTTTAGTTTATAGTTCCACAACTATTCATTGAGAATTAAATCTGGCTGATTTACTATTAGAATAACCCTAAATCTCCTTAATATGACCAATATTTGCACTGTCTTCGAATATTATCAATAGAGTAAACTTAGATTAATTTTTACCTTTGTTTTGCTTTACTGATCGCACGCTGCTGATAACTTTGCAAATTATGCAGGCATCTTAAAAATGGAACAGATAAAGACTGGTCGTGGAAACATACAAAATGCATAAGCTAAGTGTGAAAATAGAGATGAAAATTATTGCCTAGAAAACAGCACAGTACAGAGATCCCAACATGCACATATACCAGTCACTAAGAAAGGCTGCAGAGCGGCTGACTGCTCTAAGGGAATGAGTTTCCAGACCAGGAAATGTTCTGCAGATTCATATTTGACAATAACATACACAAAACCAGTTAGAGGGAAACTATGTGTAAGATGACTTCGCAGCTGAATGGGCTAAACTATTTTAATGCCTTTCTGGGTCCTTTTTTCTGGCCACTGGGCCCCACAGATTTAGTCACATGCATAATGCAAGAAGGATCCAGTCCACAGACAGTAAACTAATCCTTATAGCATTAAAAAAAAATTCAAGGAAAGCCAAATCTATGTAGATTTACAGCAAGAAATCATAATTATTCTAGTGCCATTTTAAATTTCACTGCTTTATTATAGGAAGCAAAAAGTGGTGTTTGCTTTTTGAAGGCACTTTCCCCTCATTTTAACAACCCTTTGGAAAATTCTTCTAATGCTACACAGCTCCCATAATGTGGCTACAACAGTTTTAAATATTCAAAGTAATACCTACAGCATATATGTAACTTTGTTTTGTGGGATTTACTAGACAAGAGAGAACAAAATCCTTGTTCTCAGTCATTCCATTAACAACAGAAATTACTAGCCTATGTGTCCATGACCAAATAAAAAGAGGTAGCGACATTATTCAGGAAGGAATTACAAATCTCTACAGGATTGTAGCCTCCCCTAGATTTTTAGGATGGCAAACATTGAAGAATCCAGGCTAAAAAAAAGGCAGGATTAAGAGATGTGGACTCTCAAAAGAGAAAATGATGATTAGGAATACCCTCAGGTTCTCATTCCAGCACAGCCATCAACCCCTGCAATCTCAATGTCCACTGCAACAGGGAGCCAGAAGGGATGCACTACCTATAGCTGAAAGCAACTGGAGTTCTCTGGTATTTTACCTTTTTTAAACTGGGTTTTGTGGTATTTTAACTTTTGTTTCTTTTCTTTTCTTACCATGACTTTGACACTCTGTTGCTAAAGCATGCCAAACTCTGTGTTCCAAGTCACCTTTCCATCAAAATTCCACCAAAAAAACCAATTTTGCTTTGGGGTAATTACATCATGAAAAGTAAAGTTCGCATCCTTCTTGCTCAGTTGAATTTCACTGAAAGGAACTTTTGGATTCCATGACTTGAAGCTTTGAAGCCAATAAACTGTCACAGATCCCAGAGTTCTCCTGGAGATGCTACTGGAAACCTGAGCTTTGAAGAATGAAGAGTTAAATTCTGGTGTGTGCCTCTCTGCCTCCTGTGACAGGAGCCACCTGTAAATGCCTGCTGTAAATACAAATATAATCTGCCTAAATTCACAGTTGTAACAATTTAGGGAACTCCCATGGTAGTCCTTACCTTCACCACCAGGATTGCCAGTCTAGCCACACTCTCTCCTTTGCTTTAGCAGTGAGAGACCCTTTGTGCCACAGCCTAGACCTAAAAATATTTCTGGGACTGCAATAACCCAAATCCTGGTTTATGATTGCACATGTAAGACATAGGGGAAAAATAGTATATGCAGAAATGAAACTCCTAAATCAAGTACAATTTTAATGTCAATACCTTATCACAGTCAGGAAGGGCCCTGCAAGTGCTCATTGCTAAGCTCTAAAGTTTGATAACATAGGGCAAGGGTGGGACTGCTTGTGATAAGAGTCAAAGCAGTTCTATATTTTGGGTTGTTAGTGCATTCTTGGAGCCCTCAGCCTGCAGTCTCTCCCTCAGAAGAACCATGTCAGAAGTACCTGGAAATCTCTGTCGAGACTGGGGCTCTCACAGGTTTATCAAACTTTTCCTGCAAAATTTACAGTCTAAAGCTGAGGTAAATCTGTGGTCTAGAAATCCAGTGTATATCAGCCCCCTGGGAGGGGCAGCTCTGGTTGCTGTGTGCAGACACTCTGAACCATTTGCATTTTGGCACCACAAAGCCCTTGAGGCTCAGCAGACAGTGGTGGCCAGAGGGTCCACTTGGGTTACTGCTGGTCCAGCCTCAGAGTTCCTTCTTCCCAAAGCAGCTGTGATGGCACAGCTGTGATGCCTGCCTGGAAAAAGTCTTTGGGGTATTTATGGAGGGACAATATTTTGCTTTTCAAAATGAAATGGTTTCTATTATTGAACTTCCCAAAATTATTTCTCTTTTTATTTGGTATGGTGCAGGTGATCATTACTGAGCTGCACTGTCCCACCACTGTCACTGCAATGTCTCCAGCTGCCATTCCAGAGACACATCCTGAGCCACACCACATCTACACATCCCCACAATACAGAAAGATGCACATAGAGCATCAAATACACCACAGGGAAGGCCATTCTTCCCAACATTAGTTTTTACCTCTCACCCCCAAATTGGCTTGCTTTTTTTTTTTTTTGTCTTCACAGCTAACAGTAGCTCAAACTGTCCTAATGCTCAACAGCAAAAACACAGAATTTTTTAGAAAGTGCCCTTACCTGACAGCTTTGGGTTCTCTTCACACCCCTGCAGTGCAACATTTCACTGTGAAACTCTGCCATCCTTTGAGCACAACAGGGATGGAAAGGAGTCATCACATTCCCAGTGACAAAATCCATCCCTGGAGGGTCACATGGCTGGGGCAGAGCTTGGTCCTACCCTGTAAACCCTCTAGGGAGCCAAAGGAGTCTTGAGAGGAGAGAGAGGATTCCCTTCCCTGGCAACAGTAAACAAACTTCTCTTGCTCTTCACTATCTATTGGAGTATTCAACCCCTGAAAAACCAGGCAGAACTGCATCATCCTTCAGTTTCAGCCCCTCTGGAATATAAATGCCAAGTGGAACTTCACCATTAAAAATGAGGGGGACTTCTTTGTGTTTACAAAGATGTCCAGGCTAACCAGATGTTGCAGGAGGCTTTGTTGCCTACACCACAGTATAGGTATTTGTCACTTGCTTGGATGGAAGGAAGGACTAGCCCTCCCCTGGTCCCCAGGGGACACAATCAGCTCAGGAACTGGGTTGGGTGAGGAGCATACCCAGAGCAAAGTCAGCAGCAGGAGCACTTGAGATGGTTCACCAGCTTCCATTTGGGCTCTCCAGCAGCCTTGGCCGTTTCCCTCCTTTGAGGAGCAGCAGGCAGGAGATGTGCCACACACCCCAGGCCTGCTCACACCTCCTCTCTCGCTCCAGGCCAGCTCAGAGAGCGTGGTTTGGCTCTGCATATTTTCACAAACCTCCTGACAGCATCAAGAGAGCCCAGTGTGGGTTTCCCCCGCCCCAGCAGACGTTTCTACATGATGCTATGGCTGTGCCATTTCCACAGCTCATCCAAAATCAGCCTCATCTCACACATCTCCCAGGTGCTGGAGCTCACAGCTGTGGCCCTCTGACATGAAGGTGAGGAAGCTGAGATTTGTGAGCGAGCCACCCAGCTGGCAGCTCTGGCTGGGGGATTGCTGCTGAGGGCATGGGGGAGAAGCCCACACACCACGAGCAGATTTGATCATCCTCATAATTACCTCCTGGGCACAGACAAGCTGCTTCTATGGTAGACAGGCAGAGGTAACTTTTTTAGGAAAGTTTTACACATGCTGCTTCAGGCAATATCTTTTGGCCAGAAACAGCACAATCCATAGGACTTCAAAGCCACCAGCATGCTCAAAGAGGGTGTAAAAACTACCACAAAAGAGAGCAGAGAAATATGAGCATCTCTTCAAACACAGGGCTGTGTGCAATACAGTGTCAGTCAGCTAAAAGTAAAAAACCTAGTGCTGCTCAGACAAAGTAAGGGACTAGAATGTAAGGACTGAGAAGAGTGAACTTCCTAACCCAAATTCCAGCCTCAGTCTGCCTAGGACTCAGTCATAGCCAGTGGAAGAGCCAGAGCCCTGCAAGGAGCTAGTCCCATCATGGATTTTTAGCCCATACCCAGGGCACAAAGCCTCTCACTCCAAGTGCCCCAAAGCCCCCATGAATGGCAAGGGCTGTGCTCTGCTTCTACCTGAGAAG